TCAATTTTTTGAATCCTGGATTAATAGTAAAAATCCAATAATTGAACTTAAATCTAGTCTCAAAAAACTTTATCCAAATGAATATAAATTCAGTGATTGGGAATTAAGAGCGTGGAGATCAATGTTACATGCTGCAGATTGTCATGATATAACGCTTTGGTCATCTAATGAATCTGAGGTAAGATAACTTTTTATTTTGTAAAAAGATACAAAAAAAGGAAATTATTAGTACAAAAATTATTATACAATACATATAATTTAAAATCAAAATTTATTAAAATAAAAATTTATATTGCAATAAAAAAATTTATACGTTAAAAAAATATTCAAGCATATTCTAATAATTTATTTTATATATTTTATTAGTGACAATTTTGGACACAATCAATCGATTATAAAAATGACAAGAAATAATTACATATGCTATACAAATCAGGATTTCTCCCAACTAAGCTTCCGAATCAGGAATTAATTTTTTGAGATTATTTTAAACATGCATTAATGATGAACAAAAAGGCTTCAAATGGCAAAAGACGTGTATTATCAATAATTGCTAATAAATTCACATATGCTAAGTTGAAATCACAACTAGAAGTAAGATATTGCATATTAGTTTTATATTATGTAAATAATTTTATTAAAAATTCTAATATTTAAATATTTAAAATTAAGGTCAGTACACATACTATACTTGAAGCCCGAAAACATGTACAATTTGTTAGTTATGGTGCTCTACTATTATTCAAACCTATAATTCAACAAACTAGATTATCAGAAGAATCATTAGCTCAATTTGAAGTTTTTTTTCAAGTAAGAAAAATGTAAATATGAGTAGTTATAAAACAGATAATGAGACTGGATTGCTTGTTTTATACCTTCAAGATACTAAAGCATCTTTATAGAAGAAATTATACTCTAATGGTATGAAAAGAACTACATTTATAATACGTCTTCAAGGAAATCGATATCAATATAAAGAAGATTTAGGAGGTTTATACTCAACTTGCAATAAAAGTGGATATAAAATCTTTGCGAATATTAAAGATTTGATTGAAAACCATGTTTCTGATATTCAAATTCGGGTATGTTTGTTTTTTAATTAAAAATTCATTACTTTTTATATAATGTTAATGAAATTTATAATAGAAAGAGTTGAAAATACAAGCACAAGTTTTGAGACGGTATTTACGTAAAGGTTTTGCAAAAGAGTTAAATATTAATTCATTAGGTTATGCAGAATACAATGCATATATTAGTCATTGTTTATCTCATGCATTTGGTGAATATTATTTGGATCATCTGAATACTTGTGACAATTGTGAATCTCTTTTTTTATTCTTTGATTCTTTATGAAAAAATCTTGAAGAGGAAAAGCAGGAAACATTATCAAATTATCAAAATCAATTGATTAATTTTATGGCACATCATGCT